CCGACCATGAAACATGGACATCGGAACACCACATCGGCCCAAAGAGGCCACGTCATCAAACAAATAAAAATACAATCTTGTCACCGCGCCGCCCACGCGTTATGGGAACGAGGTGACGGTTATGACACATGGCGTCATGACAAATAGGCGTATGCGAAAAGTCACGACCCCTTGTCAAGCTCGGTCTTAACTCCGAAGACCTACGGTCTTCGGAGCTCGGGAGGCTAGTGTACTATCCGTACTGCAAAGTCGAGCTCCAAGCTCGACATCGCAGCGCATGACGACCTCGGATACGCGCTACGTGACGTCAGCTCGTCACTTAACCAGATCATAACTAATCTAAGGAGATCTCGGTCCAGACGAGATCCACTATCTAATTAGATCACAACTGATCTCAGGCCCAAGGCCCAACGCAACCCTAATCCATACTAAGGTACGTGCATTACTTACACGAGACAACTACTCATACAAACCCTAACTTTAACATCAGAGTCTCTTTTGCAGGTATCACCCCCATCTTGGAACACCAACGTACCAGCGAAGGAGACTCACCAATCTTACTCGACAGATCATCTCTACAGCAGATTTCCGGTAAGAACACTTTATATACACTATATTATTAGTCAATATAAGATTTTCAATATAGTAAATATTGAATAATTCGACTGATAATTTTTATTTGTTTAGACTCAAATAATCTCACAAACTTGATCTAATATGTGATTGCTCTAAGTATAATATTAATATAATAAGGTGTTTTTTTTTTCCTTGCATTTTGAACCAAATGAGTCATAGGTTAATATTATTTTTATTGAATTAACTCAAACGGTCTTGGTAAACTAAACAAGATTTAAATAAAAAAAACAATGAGACAAAAAAAAAAAAAAGAAAAAAAAAAAAAAAGAAAAAAAAAAAAAAAGAAAAAAAAAAAAAAAGAAAAAAAAAAAAAAAGAAAAAAAAAAAAAAAGAAAAAAAAAAAAAAAGAAAAAAAAAAAAAAAGAAAAAAAAAAAAAAAGAAAAAAAAAAAAAAAGAAAAAAAAAAAAAAAGAAAAAAAAAAAGTAGGGGGAAAAGTGGGTCACGCTGCTCCATGCGATGACTTGTGGTGACGGCTAGATAGGTTTTTTTTATTACTATAATTAACTCTAATTTAATTCAACTTCCACGATCCAACTTTTGGTGATAAGCTAAGTTGATTAATTTATATATATTTATGGCTCAATTTAATAGCCGTAAGGATAAAGGAGAAAAATAGGTTAGGATAAAGTAACTTTAATAACCCTAGCTAAGTCATGTCATTATTATAAAAATTTGAGCCTATCCTATTTACCTACGTAGACTATTTAAAAAAGGTTCGACCTCGCAAATATAAAAATTTAGCAAAACTTAATCTGTATTTTATTATAAGATCTATTAACCTAAATAGTCCTGTAAACCTAATTTAGCCTGATAATTATAAAATTTTGGTATTATCATGTGGGATATATGTATAAATTATAAATGTCTTACATAATCATGTATAAATAATATAACAATAATATAATAATATAATACTTATACATGTACATAAATAATTCATCTATCAAGCTTAATAGACTTATTGAGACATAAGACTTGACTTTTTTTACTAAGTTCATATCTAAGCCCAACTTTTTAATAAGGTCATAGGGATGACAAATAAACCCGTACCTATAGGTAATATCCGAACTCATCCTGACTTTAACGGGAAATACCTGATTTGATCGGGTACGGGTAAATCTCGATAACTTAAACCGGGTACGGGTACGGGTATGGGTATATACATACCCGCTCCGTACCCGTACTTGTACCCGTACCCGATTTAATTATATTAAAAAATATATTTTATTATGTGTAATTATTTATTATAATGTGAAATATTTATAATTGTATAATTATTAAGAAATCTTTTGATTAAAATATGAGATAAAGAAATAATCTAATTATAATTATAATATAATAAAAAAATAATTTAAAAATATTATATATTTTTTTTTGCAAAAAGAAAAAAATTAAATTTTTTATGAGTATGAGTACGGGTATGGGTATACCCGATACCTGACGGGGACGGGAATGAGAATGAAAATCACATACCCGACGGATACGGGTACGGGTACGGGATGAGTTTGTGTCGCGGGAACGGGGACGGTTATCATAAAACCCGTACTCAACCCGCCCCGTTGCCATCCCTACTTACATATATGGATATATTAATAAAAATTTATATTTTACATTTCATCTAAGTGAAATTAAAATATATACAAATTAAAAAAAAAAACAATTGAATTAAATACAATTATATATTCTCCTCAAAACGAAGTTATGAATCTTCAATAACTTGAACAAATTAGAATCAGATTCAAAACGTCCCTATATATGCATGCCTCAGTGCATGAAACAAGGAAGCAAAATTCTTAGCTAAACGAGAAGGAAACAAGCAGCAGCACACCATTAATTCAACACTAACTTGATAGTTAATTATACAAGACAAGGGGCAAAATACATAGCAATAGAAGGAGGCCGAAGCAAGTCTTGTTTGAGTTGGAACTAAGGAAACAGACAGAAGTCACTATCACAACGTATCCAAGTTAAAAACCAGTTTAGAAACTCTGAAAAACTATGTAAACCACTCTTATTCAAACTTACAATTACAACACTAAAATCAAAAGACCTTATGAAAGGAGTGGTTTAAGCTTAATAAGTGGCTACTTTTTGAAGAATCCTCCAGCCAAGTTTGCAAGCCCTCCTAAGCCACCACCACCACCACTTTCTTCACCTTTGGTCTCAGCTGTGGTGTTAGTTTCCTTAGCCTCATACTGGTGAAGATAATCAGCAGCTTTGTCAACGTACTGCCCTATACCCTTCTGATCATCCAGTTTCCCATATTGCCCCGCGGCGTCCAGGAGATCCCCCGCCGCGTCAGCCACCTTCCCTTTCTCCAACTGCTCACCTTCCTTCCCGAAACCCGACCGCGCCGCCTCCGCCACCACCTTCGCGCTCGCCAGAAGCTCGCTGCTCGAGTGCTCCCTCGCCTCCTTCTTCGGTTCCTCAGAAGCCATTCTCACTTAGTTAGTTACTTTCTCTTCCTGTGCGGTGGTTGTTTATTATATATAGAGTGGGGAAGATTTTTGTGAGGGAAATATCTGTGGAAATTGTGGTTGGAGATAATGTGGGTCCGGCGTATCTATTGCGACGTTAAGACGTGTACTGTGGACACTGCTTGCTTCCAGTGTCGGCAAACCGTGTTGCTTTCTTCTGTTATTGTGGAATATATGGCTTTTAAGTCATCCACGCGTTCTTGTTTCTTCTATGCCCATAATTAGGGATGCAATGGCTTTATGTGGCGTGAGGACTAGGAAATTTGTATATGTGCTTTCAGATAAAAATTCATTGATATCTATTTCATTTTCAAACCCCAAGCGATAAGAGTTAATCAACGCTTAAGTAAGGTAGGAGTTTAAATTCTGTCTTGTGTATGTAATTGCGTTAAATCTTGGGGTCAATTATCCCACACTTTGAGGTGCATCTAACGTAGCGAGGAGATTAGCTCCTGGATACTCCAGAGACGAACCAAAAAATATATATATTATCAATAAATTTAAATTTATATTTGGTTTTAAGTATATTAAATATTAAAGATAAATAACTGATATTAAATTTTGTAAAGATAATTTTTTTGAAATATAAAAATACGAATATTTAAGTAATATTATTTAGTGGATACTTACAAGTATAGATATTATATTATACATGTCTCTGTTCTATTTATAAACGGATAAAAAAATATTCATACTTATTACATGCGAGTATTTATTTAGACTATTAATTTATTATTTGTAATGAATTTTAACAAATCTTCATGGATAGGGATATTTTTGTCATCCCAACTCATAATGGATACATAATTATAGGTATTTTATGCTTCATAGGATGGCCGACCTAAGGGTATTGAAGTTTAGGTTTTAGGCTAAAAATATTTATTATTAATTTTTATTTAGTAAAAGGCTATTTTTTTTTTTTTTTT